GGTGTGTCTATCTGGATATAGATTGTATCAATAAAGATCACATGCCTTGCGCATGTTCCACTTTAAAAAAAAAAAAAAAAAGAAAATTCCAATTCTACTTTATGTTTATATCATTTTTAACAAATTACTAACTTATATTCAAAACTTTCTTCTTATTAACTACTAGTTTCAAATTATTTTAAAATTAAAACATATTTATCAAACCTATTTTTACAATAAAATTAATTATTACCTTTTAGTTTATAGTCCTAATAATAAATTTAAAAATAAGGGATTAATATTAAATATAAATAATGAAATATTAATATTACTTTAGGATTGTTTTAATATTAAAGTAATTATTACTCTCCAATCTTTAATTCTAATAATAAATTCTAATAAAAGATTAATACTAGATGCAAATAATAAAAGACTAGCTTTATTTTGATATAATTTGAATTTGGTATAGTTTAAAACCAATATTTATTTTATTTGTCATATATTAAATTATATTTGAAAAACAAGTATATCAATTTTAATTATAACTTGTATACCAACCTGTATATAGTAACTGTAATGTCTTTATATAATTAAGTAATTAAAATTCTTTAATTAGTTAAATACCATTTAAGATATAATCTTAGATAAGTAGGTTGCAATTGTGAGTCTTGCATTAAACTTTTTCTAGTAAAGAGTGATATATAATATATTATACTATAGTTATAAATCTTGTAATTGCAAGTCTAAAATTATAATAAAAATAAATCATAAGAATTATTTGTTCCTTCAAAAAAATAGATATATTTATTTAACAATATTGTTTATTATTTTATTAATAATATTGTTAAAAAATTTTTTTAAATTTTATGTAAGATATGTAAGATAATTAAAATATGATATAGCAAAATAATTAAAAATAAATTTAAATATACATGTTATGAAGTACAGTTATAATAGTATTAGAAATTGGTTTTATCAATTTTTAAATAATTGTTTTCTTTTAATATAATTTAAATTTAAATTTATTCAATATTTGCATTTAACTTTTATTTATTTATTTTTATTGCCTTGTTACAACTTTTATTTATTTTTGTCATTTTATATGTTTAAATTTAACAAATAAAGATAATGTTAATAAACTTAAGATTCTTATAAAGCTTTAATTTATCAATGATTATATTACCAAGAGAATTATAATTCTTGTAAAGTTGGTGATAAGCATATACTCGATAAGGTTGAAAACAAACTGACACAATTGATTGTAATGGATAATCACAATTTTGTTAATTTATTTTCAGACATATTTATTTCAAGAAGATTTGCAATCCCTTGTATGAAAGTTAATATGAACTGGTATCACAGATAAGCTTATGGTTAAGGTACCTCTCACAGAGAATCTTTTGCTGCCACTTGAGATCTTGCTTCTGCCTTGAGTTGGAGATCCATGTGTATAGATAATTTTTCTTCAAGATGATGGTGATAATGTTGTGATTATTCAAAAAGTACTCGAAGATCTTATATAATTTGTGCTAGGTTCAGTGATCTTGAACTTGCCTCAAGGTGTGCAATGATACTTCGAGTTTTGGTCGCCTTATGGGCAGGCAAGAGCATATTGATTTATTTTAGATTAAACCGAAGTAGAAACTCAATTATCAATGATCGATAGTGAATCATAATCGCGTAATTTTTAACGGTCCAGAAAATTTAAATGTCTACGTCATAGTCAAATACACTCATAACACCACCTATTAGATGTAAGCTTCCGGTAACTAAAACTTTTACCCCATGTTTACTTTGTTTGACGTGGTCCGTTATCCAATCAATTGATTCTTGAATTGTAGCAAACACATGTGTTTCACTTGATCCGACGGAGGGCTCAATGTTTTCTTCTCGAGAACTTAAGGAAGACCAAGACTCGGCAAGCGTCTTCTGCCACGTTAAACTTTCATCTAATTTAATTGTGTTGTTTTGTAAATCTGAAAATATAATGAAAGGGATTTGTTAATTTTAAAATTACCACACAACACGTTTGGTTGCTATCGACTTACCAGGTTTGAATCGATACGTGGAAAACGTTACATTGGTACAAAATATTGCGTGACTGAAGTTTCCTGACACAACTCTTTTCAAGATCTCTGGACCGTTCCTATTGTTGGTACAATTAAATACCAATATCCTTTCACTTTTCCGTAAGGTATCATATTATACAAATATTTTAGTGTCTATTACTTCTGTCTGTTGCTTCTGAATAAATAAAAACCAATCAAATCTCACCTATCGTCTTTCGTCGCAGTTTCACCGAACCACTCCATACATGCCTTTTAATAGTCCCATAAGTTAATTATTTACTCTAACACACGAACATTAACCTTATTTAATCACTCATTCACTCACTCACTTGTATACTTTCCAATGTATGGGCTCCGTCAAGAAACCAAGTAACGCCTTGATACTTTTCTAGTCTGAGCATTTGATTTCGACCTGGTAATCGGACCTTAGAAAGTCCGGCAAGAAATTCACGGGGTATTTTTTGAACTTGGTGCTTGATATTCCTATTTTTCTCAAGCCATATGCGACATAGTTCAACCGCTAAAGATGCATTTATGAATTGATGTCTTCCTGCTAGTCCTAACATATAAAGAATTTTCATGTTACGCATTCGACAACATGATGAAGATAATTTACGGAATGATGTGTACCAATGTTGATCCCACTATACAATTCTTGTGTAGATGTCTCAATCTTAATAAAGGGTGCCTATTGTAAAGATGAATAAGTTAAAATTTCTCTTTCTATTAAGCAAAGGTTTAGTAAAAGAATTATTCACATTGACTGCTTCGGCACGATCCTTCAAGACTCTCAAAGAACTCTCGGGTTGATTGACAGTGACAGCTGGTGTGTTTCTCTTAAGGCGAGAATACTAATTAAAAAAAAAAAATCTGCAAAATCTCTAGATTTCAGTGTATTGTTTACCTTAAAGATTCCTCCCTTATGCCAGGCTATCTTGTCAACGGTATCTCCCAAGACGGCTTGATGGTCAAGCCCCAGAGATGTAACACCGCAGACTGTAGGTTTCTCTATAATGTTTGTCGAATCATGTTCACCACCAATTCCTACTTCCATAATAGCCACGTCTACCTAAAATTAAAGGATATTCATATTAAATTATTTGTAATCGTTTGCGAAGGTCCTAAGAAAGTACCTCTTCTTTCATGAAAACATGAAAAGCCATCAATGTAAGAAATTGAAAATAGGTTGGCATAATAGGTGTATCGTACGCCAGAACATTCTGATGTTATGAGTTCCTATGCATTTTAGAATCACTTCGTGTTATGAAAATTCATGAATCGTTAAGTAATTGCCTGTGGTGCGGATGCTTTTAACTTATTCCAGCACTCAAAAAAATATCTTGCAAATTCCTCCTCGCTTAGACTTCTTCCGTCCAATCGAATTCTCTCCCGAACGGCGACAAGATGAGGGGAGGTATACAAGCCTATTATAGATATAGTATTAGCGAATCAATTGTGGGTTTCATATCGCTCGCGCAGGACATCAAAGAACACCTGTTCGAATTCTGCTTGATGCGGCCTTTTGATTCTCATTTGTGTTTGTCGTATGGTAATTCCTCAAGATTGATTCTGTCATAGCGCAAGTCGAACCTTTCCCTTTTGTCCCGGTGACATGGATAATATTCAACCGGTCAAAGTCGGATGGCTGACGAAAAAGTTTATTTAAGTGCGATGTATTCTAAATGATTTTTACTCCAGGTGACATACTTTATATTGATCTATCCTGCGACAGAATTCCCTCATCTTTGGCAGGCTATTTGAAGTCAACACATTTCTGGATTGACGAATTTTTTCGAGAACGGCATAATTGGTTTGCAGACTATTCAAACATTCTATGGCTTTCTTTTTCCGCAAGTCAATTTCGATCATGCGTTTTAAATGAGAATTTGATCTTAATTAAAATGTCATTCTTAAACTTCATGATACAATGATACATACAGCGTAAGTTATATCTTCGACCTCCATTATGTAATTTTGATGACGAGTAACCAAATTTTTCGGAAAAGTATGGTTTATTATATTTCTACTGATTTTGTGTGTAAAGGGAGAGAAATATTTCATTCCTTTAGCTAGATTCTATGTTGTAATTTTAATAATTGACCCTTTATAAGGATCATTTTCACGTGATATCGACTTTTTTTTTGTACCACTGATACCCATCTATTTCTTATGTACTACACAAATTTAAAATGCTAATATATACCGATAAATAAATAAATTAATTAAACAAAAAAATAAATAATATGAATCCGATATGTTATATATCCGTCTAAAGTAATGTTAATAAATATTTCAAATAATGTCTAGATTGGACTATCGTTTCTTGTGTGTATTAACATTCTTATCGTGTGCAGTGGATGCGAAATTAGATCTTCGAGGCTTATCCATTATCTGGAAAACTTCATAGTCTATCACTTGTAGAGATTCGAGGCCTTCATCGACTTTCATCATGATCGCGCGTTTCCCATCGGGAAAGGCTATTAATTCTTCACCGAAACAAGGCCCATATCCTTGTCGTTTTTGAATAGCGAATCCGTTGAGCCGTTCGATATCCGCCCTGTCGTGATCAAAATAAAAGACAAAACTATCACTGGTGGTGTGGCCATATTTCCAGTCCAGGGGGTTATAACCGCCGCACAGGGCACTATTGTTTATTTTGAATACGGTTATGGTCCTGGGAATTCCTTCGCATTTCTGATGAAAGGTCTCTGGGGAGAAACCATCTCTACGTCCACGAACGACCAATTTAAATTCATACGGAATTTCCGCTGGCCTATATGGATTGTCGCCTCTTCGGTCAATCCAGCTCGCGAGCAGGGTTGCGTGGCAAATGTTGAGTGTTGTGCCGTTAAATTGAATAGAGATCGGCGAAGAAATCGCAGTGGATGAACCGCAAGCTTTTATTAGATGATGTTTGAGCGATTCCTCAAATTCCGCCTGAGGTAAGAAGGGTTCACACGGAATCAAGAGATCATTAAATTCATTCCAGTTCAGTGACTTCACACTTTTCCAAGGAATACACGAAGCGAGAATTTCTTTGAATTCAATCCAATCTTCCCTTTGCCACCCCGAAACTTGATTACCCAATCTGGGAATTTGAGATCTCGCCCAATTAACAATAAAACCCCACATAGCTTCATTAAGTTTGATACATCCGGAATTATCGAGGGATCTCAATATCTCAGGATTGAAACATTTGGGATTTTCGAAAATACTCAAGGGATTTTGTGCAATTTTGGTGGTGTAATGGACTTGGAGACTTTTGAAAGAATCGTGACTGAAAATAGTGCGAAAATGGGTGACAAAATTAGCATCCATCCATTCTGTCTGTTGGTAGATCAAATGATCTTGAATGCTTTCCAAGATTTCAAAAAGGCCAAGTTCCTTTGCTGCGTAGAGCAAATCGAAAGTTTGTTGCCCTTCGCAGTTCATGAAATCAACTTTACCACTGTAAATGTACCTTTAATTTAAAATGTAACGTTAATCAGTATTTCATTTAGCACGAATAATAATAATAATTCAAGTCAATTGATGTACTTACTTGAGAATAACCTCAAATACAGCCGGAGTTATGTTAGATTTATCAATTAGGATCTTGTCATATACGCTATCCCCCCTTAGATTACCACGGAAGTAAGTAGATCGAGCTCTCAGTATAAGCGAATGTGCCTGAAATTCCTTTGCGTCCGCGCCTTTGCCGACACGAATAATTACATCGTAGTATGCGGCAGTATCAAAAAGTTGACTAATGTCACGAGAAAGTTTTACTAATAAGTGATATGACATTGCGTTATTAATTAATACACTTTAAAGAAACGGTAGTCGACGTGCAATAGTAAAACACAAGCAAACTACCTTGGAAAGTGTATAACGCTTCGTCCAATGACAGGATTGTTTATGCATAATGCGATTACATAATGATACACGAGATGGTCTATGCAGCCGTTGCAATCGATGTTAAAAATATTATTTAAAGTATCTAATTTAAGATTTAAAAAATTGCTTTTCAAATAAAACTTGATATATTATATTTTAAATTTTATTAAATATTCAACTTATTTTTTTTTATTGCAAATAGGCATTAAATGTGAGATTTTATTTAAACAATAAGTTTACTATTATTATATTAACAATCTTTGTAAAAAAACAAATTAATTGTAGCTTATTGTAATTAAACTAATTATATAAATTTTCATTAAATAGATGGATTTATATAAATAACATTGAATGGCTAATGCTTATTCAAAATAATAAAGTTTTTTTTTTTTTTTTTTTTTTTTTTTTTTTAATCGCAAACAGGCATTAAATGCGAGACTTTTATTAAACGAGAGTTTATAGCCATTA